TCTCTGTCTCTCTCTGCTCCCCTCCCCACCTGCTTCTACTCTGTCTGAAAATCAATGGAAAAAAATATCCTTGGGTGAAGATTTTTAAAAAGAAAAAAAAAATGATTTTACCTTGAGCTCAGGAATTAGGAGTGATTTTAAAACAAAGCCCTTTGTTCTGGTCACATGATAAGGACATGCTGTGAAAGATACAGAGTTGTGGGAGACAGGAAAAGGAAAATGAAGGCACAGACTTAGAGATCTCAGTTACTCAAATCATGGGAGTATTAATTTGAGTTGATTGCCTTGGAGGCAGATAGATTTGGATGCTTGTGGAAATCGGATTTGAATTAAGAAGAGACAGATAAGAAGTAAGACTTTAGAATGGCTTGATTGAGCAGTTTTGAGATGACAAAAGAGGCACTACTACACAATTAAATTCAAAATTACTTCTGAGATTTGGTTAAAAATAATGCTAGAAAGAGTTATGATTTAGTGCCTCTCTCAGACACCACTAATTCCAAATCTTTCCATTGCTTGAATGAGGGCTGAATGGCTGGTGTGTGCAGGCACATCTGACTAATAGCAACACAGGAGCATATAGACTCATTGTTAGCAAACATCATCTAGTTTACAACATGTCTCCTTTCAGGTAGCTTTTTCTCTTCTGGTGAGAAGTACTTCAAAAAGTTGCCAGGATAAGAATAGAAACTAATGGATGTTTTGCTGATTTTACATTTTTATCAAATCTACCCATTGAAGGGTCAGTCCTGTGACTGACTAGTGTGACACTCTTTCCTTCGAAGCTCATGGTTCAAGGGTATAAGATAAAAGGTGGGGAATCCAATGAAATGTGTTAACCTCAATCAGACTTGACTGTCAATCCATTGGCTGACTTATCGCCAGCTTGAATAACAGTAACTGTCATTCCTCACCACCACCATCATCAATACCTACAATAAGAAAAATGAACATTCCTGGGCCACTGACTGTGACTATAGTTCCAATGTTGCAAGTCCCACTCATCAAGACTATCCTTGGATCAGCATTCACGATGCTCCAAGTTAGGCATTTGAACCCCTTTCACAAAAATCACTTGGGAGCTGCTGCACATCTGTGTGGCTGGAGAGGAGCAGATATTCTGTTGGAAGATGGGATTCTACAGGAGTGATTAGACTATTAGGGCTTGAACATCCCGCATTTGCCCCTCCACACACATATGAAAGACTATCATAAAAAAAAAATGCCAAACCTAAATCACGATCCCATCAAGGGGCCACCCTACTGTTAGTGGTGGTGGATAAATCCTAAAGCATGACAGTGACATATGTCTGAGTCTACAGTGATCATGTGCACTTGACATCCAGGCCAGCCTATCATAGTGGTCTCCATTAATGCCTGTACAAAGAAACATATCTTCATGCAGTGTTCAAGATGTTTTTATCTGCTTACATGAATGAATACTGTTTGCCCTGCTCTCCTTTCCTGAGGTAAAAAGCTCTCTCCCCACAAGTTCTCTCAAAGCCATGTCCTCCTGGATTGAACAGTGAGTCTGGTTGAGGGCCCTTGCTCATGGGCACCTGTAGCTTCCTTTAAAGATTAAAATTCAGCAGATACGGGCCCAGCTGGAACACTTAGAAGATGTGTGTGTGTGTGTGTGTGTGGTAGTGGTGGTGGTGGGGAGGAGAGGGAGATGTTCAAACCCTAACTACTCTAATAAGCCCCCTTGAGGCAGATTAGGAAGTTCTAGATGCCGAACCCATCAGTTAGGACAGTGGTTGGCAAACTCATTAGTCAACAGAGACAAATATCAACAGTACAAGGATGGACATTTCTTTTGAGAGCCAAACTTTTTTAAACTTCTAACGCCATTTCTTCAAAATAGACTCGCCCAGGCCATGGTATTTTGTGAAAGAGCCACACTCAAGGGGCAAAAGAGCCGCATGTGGCTCGCAAGCTGCAGTTTGCCAACCACCGCAAAGCTGGGTCTACCAGGGACATGCTTTCGATGAAACAGAGCCCTAAGGAACCACAGACAGGAAGGGGAATGCAGTTGGCAGACAGGTCAAGTGAAGTCTTTCTCATGAACGTCACTTTACAGAGTTGACAGAGTCCTTTTACAAATGACTCCTGGGAGGACAGTGACAGAGTGGTCAAAGGAAGTTTAGTAGCCAAAACAAAAAAGTTTTGGTTCAAATGGAGGCCATGTGCCGCTGTACTCTCCCCAGCAAAGTCTGGGAGGCCCCTCTGTGCAGATGCCTTAGTGTATGTTACGCAGAGGTGCTTCCGGTCTCCAGCTCAGCAACATGGTAACTGCCTGTGTATTTCCCACTCTGGTCCAGGAAGCATGCTGGGCATCCAAACCCTCCAATGGGTGTCTGCAGAAGTTCCAGGCATGAGAGGCCTAGCAAGTCTCACCCACCCACTCTCATTGTGAGGGCACAGTCCCCCAGACCTTGGCTTTGGCCGTTCTAGAACCGATTCAGCCTAAATCTGCAAGGCGTGGCCACACTGACCCTGACAATTTTGACGGGTAGCAGTTGTTTGTATCTGATACCTGGGGATGGGGATAGAAGGGCAGGTCATGAAGTCAATCACCTTTTCTCATTTTTTATAGCAGCCACCAGAAATGAATCGCCTCCTTCACCAACACGTCCTACATCGCTCAGATGGACTGACCCCCCCCCCCCCCCAAGGACTGGGGTACAGGATTTCCTGCGCGTCTCAGCCCTCTCCTGGTTTTCGCCTCTCGGTGAGTCTCAGCTGCAATTTAATTCCCAGAATCAGCTAGAGCAGCTTAGAATGATTTAAATATTTTGTATTAAAACCAACTTTTCCTCTGAAGTTGTGACTAGAAGCAAGCTTTGGATAGCGGGCATTGAGGGAAGAGTCCCCAACACATTAGTTGATGGGACTTGGGATTATTTAATATCAAGCCACACTGCTTCAGGTCTTTCCTTTCCTCTTTCCCCTTCTTTTCTTTTTCATGATGGCTGCCCTGGGCTGCCTCCTCAAAATACTCTCCTATGAAAGCCTATCTTAACTAGGCTTGACATTGTGCCCAGGTTATGAGGTGAGCAGCTTGGACACTAGCAGGGTGCAACCGGCCTCGGCCAGCATTGGAGACACAGGAGGACAAGGGGTTTCAGACTTTTCTGTCACCCAAGCACAGACCACAGAAAGAGCCCAGCTCACCCCAATAAGGTGCTGAAAGAGCAGTTGCTTAAATCAGGAGCCTGTCCTGTCCCCCTCGGTGTCCTGCACATCGGAGCCAGCCCGGCTCTGCTGCCCGTATCCTCTCCCCCCTCCCCCCTCAGAATGAGGCACCACACCAGGTGAAGAGGGACATGGAACACTTTTTAATGTCAAGTCAGAGACAACCCCTCCCTCCCCATCACCCCAATCCCACTTTCCCTCATCACACCCAGGACCCCTCCCCGAGGCCTCTCTGGTCCCCAGACTCCCCGGGGAGGAGGAGAAAAGATTATCTAAAAACTGCATTTTCTTCTCGTTCATACACACGCACACACAGGTGGGAAATTAAATAAAAGAAACCAAGAGGGTTCGATTTCTCCAGTGGTCACAAAGGCATCAGAGATTCCCATAGGGCTCGAGCGAGTGGTTACTGGCTGTTTAGCTGGTTCGGCGGTGTGTTTGTGCGGGATGCAGGAGCCACCCCTCGGGACAGAGGCTGCGCCCGGTGTGAGTGTCGTTTCTCGTTTCACTTGGTATAAATGTCTCTGACATGTGGATAACGCGAAAAAGAAAAACAAAAACAAAAAAAAAAAAAATAGAGGCAGGAGCTGATTACACAAGTTACCAGTAAACGCTATCATCTTTTTTAGAAGGTCAACACACAGCTAACGCCATATACAGCATGCAGTAATGTCTGAGAACGCACCTGCTGAGAAAGAAAAGAGCTAGAACTCTCAACGAAAAAAAATATATGTATATATATGTATATATATACTGTATAATATATGTCATCAAAAGAAGCAGAGCCAACAAACTCAAGGTCAGGTGCAGACCCCCTTCCACCTCTACACAGCACGGAGAAGCATAGTCGTGTCTGCATTAAATGCCGGGATGAGGAGAAAGCTGTAGCGCTGGTGGACGTATTGGTTAAATCGTGTGTGTGTGTGTGTGTGTGTGTATTTTGTTTTATGGTGGATTTGCCAAATCCTCGCCGGGCGGTTAATGCCCGGCTTAGGGTCCACCAGTTGTAAACCTAGTTAAGAAGTGCACTACCGTATTCATCTTTTTTTTTTTAACAAACATATGTCTCGTCACCCCTTCCATGTGTGTGGTATGTGGTTTTGCCTTGCTTTCCAGCTAAGTCCTAGACTCGGGTCAGAAAAGAGAATTAAGAGTGAACGGGAATCCCTTATGATCCACGATGCCCATGGAGTGAGAGGAACGCAAAGGTGAACGGGGTCTGTGTGGCTGCTGCTTGCAGGAGGTGGCTGCTGGCAGGCTGTTTTGTTTAGTTTCCTTTTTATTGATCTGCTTTGTAATAAATTGGCGTTTCATAGCACACAGGACAGTGGCACAGTCTGCAGCGGGGACACATTGGGGTGCGTGCCTCACTTTGCATTTGCTTCTAGTGACAGATTGAATTTGGGGATGGCCGACTCCAGAATTTTCCTTGGCAGGGGCCCTGGGGTGGGCAGAGCCTCTGAGCCCTCGGCCACCCCGGGGACAATGCAGCTGGCGGGCAGGTGGGTATCCAAAGCTGGGGGCACACTCCTCCCCTCGGGAAAATAAAGAAAACTCAGCTGTACCTACATATCGGCCCGGTCTGCAAGGCGATGGATTCTCAGTGTCCTTTTGAAATGCGTTTGCCCAAAGTGTTCTTGGTTCCCCTCCCTCGAATTTGTGTCCCAATCGTCTGTGGCTCGGAATGGTGTTGGATTGCATCTTGGTTGGAAAGGGGTGTTTGCTCTTGCTGTCGGAGGTGCCTTTGCTGGAGGGTCGGTGGTTGCAGTGGCGGCAGCTTCCCCGGGTCGGGGGTGGCACTCGCATCAAAACTGGAGCAGGAGGAAGACCAGGAGAGGTAGCAGCCAGAGGCAGCCTGCCCTCCTCGGTGTCCCGTTGCTCACCTCGCTGACGGCGCCAGGGCCTGTGGAAAGAGCAGAGGAGTCACAAGCAGCCGGTGGAAGAGGGAATGGCCGTGGCCTGGCCAGCTGTCCTCAGGCCTCGCCTCTGGTAAGCCCTCTCTCTAACTGGGAGCACCTGTTCCCTAGGTAATAACTGTGTGACAGATGGACCTTCTAGAGCTTCTCTCCGGTGCACAATGGGGGGAGGGGGTTTCCCTGGCGAGGAGAGACCACGAGGCTCAGGTTCAAGTGCACTGGTGGCCACGATGCCTTGTGTTAGGACAGTGGTCGGCAAACTGCTGCTCTATTGACTAATGAGTTTGCCGACCACTGCGTAAGGCATTAACCTTACCTAGAAGTTTTGACTTCAGGTTAAAAACAGTACATTATTAAAATGTTTTTAAGTGTTTTTCCCTAAGGCAGTGGTCGGCAAACTCATTAGTCAACAGTGCGGCAAACCGCAGCTTGGGAGCCATATGTGGCTCGTGAGCCGCAGTTTGCTGACCACTGTACTAGGCTATGGCTATAGCTTAAGGTCAAGTTCAAGGTGGCAGGTGTATGAATAGCCCACACAGAACTTCAATAACATAAGACACACATAGCCCCATCCTGTGCAGCATCACTCAACCACTTCTGCGCACTGCCTGCCTCACCCTTCCCATCGCCCTCCAGTGGCTCCACCATCGTCCAACCAACAGATTCTTCCTGACACCCTCGTCTGCCTCCCTGCTGTGGCTGCCACTGGGGCTCAGCCTCCTCCTGCCAATCACCGCCTCTCAGGGCAGAGCCCGGCGTCTGCCTGGAGCCCTTAGCCTCCCCCCATCTGGCCTCGGTCATAGCTCAGGCATCACGCGCCTGAAAAGCCAGACCCAGCTCCCAGGAAGTGGAGATGGGAACAAGGAAAGACACAGGTGGCCTTTGGCTGTGGCCATGGACGTGCGGGAAGGGTGAGGTGGAGATGGGGAGGTGGAACTGCATGGAGGATGTCTGTGGGTGGGAGGGGGACGGCACCTTCCCCTGCGAGGCACACACCACTGGGCCCGCTAACAGAGACTCCGGAATGAAGCCAAGTATGACAGGTAAGAACACTACACAGTCAGAGAACTTAACAGTAGCTTTCCTATCACTGAGAAGCATAGCCAGGAGGCTCCCTGAGCCGTGGGGGTCGGGGATAGGAATGTCCATAGCCAATGGAGCTACGCAGGAGTGATGAGGCCCAGACAAATCAGGCACCCAAGATAGAAGTGCCTTCTCAGTCTGCTCAGCTGAGCTGTTTGATGGGATTGTGTCACTGGTGTCCCCACTAAGTGCATGTACCCAAGGGCTGAAGGAACCTGTCTTGGATGCCACACATCGGAGACACTTCTGGCTCCTTGATTTCAGGTGAGATGATTCCTTGGGACCTTAAAGCTCGTGGCTGGGAAGCCCTGCCCATGTGGTTATAGTGCCAGGGCCTTGGGGAGAAATCTGCCTATGGGGCAGTGGCTACATCATCATGAGTTTGAAGTGCAGCATGCTCTCCAACCTCCTGTGTCCTGCTGTCCAGGACATGATATTCCCTACGCTGAATTTCTTGTCCTGGCAGGGCGGGTTCTCATAATGAGGCAAAAGGGGGGCTACTGACTCTCCCCTCTGCAGGAAGAGGAGCTTCTGGCTCCAAAGGCCTCCGCCAAGAAGGCCCTCTTCTTAGTCCCTCACTGTTACCCATGTCACGCTGTCCACTCCTCAGCCTGCTTTGGAATCCCAGGGGAGAAGGTTCACCCGATGGCTGCTTATAGGACAGTGGTCTGCAAACTCAGTCAACAGAGCCAACAATTGAAATTTCTTTTGAGAGCTGAAAACCAACTTCTGCGCATGGGCCACAAAGTTTCAATTGCTCTGTACATATCGCATGTGGTATTTTGTGGAAGAGCCACACTCAAGGGGCCGCATGTGGCTCGCACATGCCGCAGTTTGCCGACCACTGTTCTAGGGTGAAAGGTTCTGCTTCCCTCCTATGCAAGAGCTCCTCTACGCTGGACCCCTCCCCCCCCAAGTCCTTCAGAGCAAGAGCCCAGCCTGTGCCTGAGGCCGACTCTAAGGCAGGGGTCACCAACCAGTGGTCCGTGAGGTCCTAAAGGTTGGGGACCGCTGGTTTAAGGAAACCTTGAGAGTCTAAGGCACACGTGGCTTTCGCAGTCCATGGGACCAGCAGGCCTTTGTGGGAGCCAGGCTCCATGTTCGCAGAGGTAGTGGCTGTATTCTGTCACCCCACGTGCTCATGGCACAGGACTCTGAATGTCCTCGGCACGCCTGGCACATGGTACGCCTGGCACCACATGCACCTATGGTAAGGGGACCAGACATCCTGCTTTTGGTGGGACAGTCCCACTTTAACAATTTTCTTCTGTCCTGTGGCGTTTTTTAAAAAAAAAGTCCCAATTTTTGGAAAGATTCTTGTTGAAAATTGGGACTGTCCCGCCCCAAGCGGGATGATCTGGTCACCTTAATCTATGGGCTCAGGGCTATTCATCTCTTGCTTCCCTCAACACTCTCACAGCTTTGAGACCAAGCCCCCATTCATGCCAGCTCACTGCTCCCTCTCCCTCCCCCTGGCCATGCCTAGAAGAGGCCCGGTGGGGACAGAGGGGAAAGAAGCACAGTGCCCAGCATATGGGTACAGGCCCCCACCCAGGGGAGATACCACAGGCCAGGCATGTAGCCCAGCAGGGCCTGGCTCCTTACCTTACCCTGAAAGGAAACCTTGTTTGCGGGCAAGGGACTCTGCAGCATGCAGGGGAGGCTGACTGGTGCCCCCTGCCCCTGGGCACCTTGCCTGGCAGGGCTGTCTGCAGATGCTTCTTTGGGCCTCTGTGCTCAGTCCCATGGCAGAGGGCCTGAGAGTCCCTCTGTGAGCCCGCTGGGCAGCACCAGAGAGAGCCATCAGGCGGGATTTTGACCTGTCGTGTCAAAAAACTCTGCCCATAGAAGCAGGAAATGGCCATCAGGTGCCCAGAGCCTCCTCTCGGTGCACTGTTACCATGGACAAGCTTTGGGGGCCTCTCCAGCCTCGTCTCCTGTCCCTGACCCACAGGGAGCAGTCACTCACAGGGGAGCCTCATCCAGTCTGCCTTCACCCCGTCCACAAATTATCCCCTCACCCTAACCCAGTGGTCAGCAAACTGCAGCTCGAGAGCCGTGGTTTGCCGCTCTGTTAACAATGAGTTTGCCAACCACTGACCTAGACACACGATTCCTATAATTACAGGCTGTTGTTGTTCCTTGTGATTAAGCCCCTATCCCAGTGGTGGGCAAACTCATTAGTCAACAGAGCCGCAGTTTGCCGACCACTGCCCTACCCCATCTTTCCAGCACAAAGCCGCACAGGAGGAGGAGACAGGGAGGGGTTCCCACACTCTCCTGTCTGGCATTAACCCCTCAGGCTTATTCTTTATGATAATTCCAGGGTCATGTCTCTACCTCTGCAAATGGATCGCGCTACAGATCTACTGGATTCCTCCGGCCTTCACAAACCTCCCACCTGCCTGGCAGAGCACTCCGCATGTCATAATCTGCTTACGTTTCTGCCTCCTTAACCATTCTCCCTGCCACATATCTTTCAGTGTTTCCCTTCCCCCAACTCCAGGTAACACAAGCTCATGTCACCTGTACACAGGAGCATGTACCCGCCAGCCATGTTCCTTTCTCTTCTCACCTTCACAGCCTCTGTCCCTGAAATGTTTTTTCTCAACTCGTACCTTGTTCCAGGTTCCGTTCTGTCCTCCAGTCACCTCCTCCAGGCAGCCTTCCTTGACTTGCTGAGTATCACAGCACCACATGCATCCCGCTATTGAAATGCCTACCACCCTGTGTTCTACTTCCGTTTCCCTCCTCTGTGCTGCAAGCTTTTTAAAGCCCCTCTGTGTCTAACGGAGCCCTTGGTGGGGATTCGATCAGTGCTTGTTGGAGGAAAGAAAGAGCCAGAACAGTGCAATACCTGTAGATAAGCCCATATTTTCTGTTTTTCTTGCTCTTGAGATTAAACTTGAAGAAAAAAAACTATAATGAAACTCTTGTCCTGCCTTGTCTTTTGCTTAACCTCAAATTAGTCTTCTAAACATTGTTCCTCTTTTCCAATAAAAGTTACTGCAAACCCCTTGAGTACCTCTGGGTGGGACATCAGGCTGAGTGCGTGCAGTTAGGAGGGCTCCAGCCCCAAGAGCTGCATGCATGCTCAGGACTGCTGTCCGCACTCCCAGAGGCAGACCTGAACCTCAGAGCTCCAGTGCCTGCCCCTACAGTCCCTCCACTTCTATCTTCAAACTCAGTTTTTCTTCCCCCACCTCTCACAGCTACTCCATGCGACTCCCTCCTCTGCAGGAAATGCAGACTGGAGGGGAGGAGCACCTGGGCCAGCCCCATCCGGGCACTGGTTAAGGTAGGGATCACACAGGCCATCCCGCACTGCCCAGCACCTGGAGGAATGCTGTGACATGACTTTTGTCCAGGCCTTGCATTCAGTCCTGGAGCGAGGCTCTCCCAAGAGCCTTTGTGGCCAGGGTGACAGCTCTGCCCCTCTACCTGGTGGCATGGGCCACACCTGTGAGATCTCTGCTCTCCAGCCAGGCACACCTCCACTCCGTGCTAGATGCCTTTATTGCCTCTGCCTCACTAGGCAGCTGCAGAAGCCTAAAGAGACTACCAGGACAGTCAGGGACCCGGAAAACTGATGAGTCTCAATTATTCATCAGAAACATCTGGCAAAAATGAAAGCCTCTAATAAGATCCATTTCATTCCTAGCCTAGTGACTCACACAGACCACCCCCCTCCCCCAATCTTCCTTCCACTTTCCTCTTCCTCCCACCACTTCCCTTCCAGTTCTAAGCTAGAGCAAGACAGCGGAGGGGAAAGAGAGAGCGAGAAGGGGTAAGCACAGGGGCAGCATGCAAGGTCTAAGAAGATCGGCGCATTAGAGCATCCATATGCAAGGAAAGAGGCAGGCCTGGTACAGGGGCACCCGGATGTGGAGACATTCCGGGCACTGCCAGGCGCTCATTAGTGCTGCCAGCAGAGAAGTTAGACTTCTACCAGGGGAAGATACCCGGGGAGAAGGGAATGTCCCTGGGAATAGGTTAATCTGAAGGTACATAGACACAGCCCCAGGGCCAGGGGTAGACCCGCTGGGCTGCCCCCTGGGGTTAGCTCAGAGCAGAAGACACCTGGAGAGCAGGCAGAGTTTGGCGCATCACGTCCTCACCAAGGCAGTAGCTGCCTAGGAAAGAAGCATACCAACCTTTCCAAGGGGTCAGGGCTGGAGATTTCACTTCTAAAAGAAATTGAAAACAAGCCGCCGTTAAGGAAGGAAGCAGTCGGAGGTACCTGCTTCGCCCTCGGAGGGTTTGGAGGAGGAGCCAGTCCTCTCGCCTTGGCCTCTTGCTGCTTTTACTGCAGTCCAGCAGTCCAACCCTCATCCATGCTCCCCTCCAGTTTGCTGGAAAGCCAGTGGCCATCATGGGTGAGTTGGGGAAAGATATGAATGATGTTCAAATTCGGCTGCTGACCCAAAGAGCACCAACACCTCCCCCTGTCTTAGGAGGGGAGATGGGTGTACCTCAAGCCTGAGGAGGCTCCAAGCCCATAGATACTTCTTTGTAGAACAACTTCCTTCTTTGGCCACCCTACTGTCCCTTAATTAGGTGAAGTCTATAGGGCTCAAGTATAAAATAATCACCCACAAATGGATTATCTTACAGCAACTTGAATATGCTAGTAGGTGCCCAAGCTATGTTTGAGATGTAAAAATTTGACCAGCATTCATGGATTCATCTAAGAAACACTGCAGAGGTGGGACTGCACCAGCCAGATGAGTCCAGACCTTGGCTACATGACTTCTCTTGATGAGTCCGACTTACATAGATGTAAGACCTGCATCTATGCGGCTGCACTTGGACTTGCTGGGACCTGACTATGGAAAGACTGGGGCTTCCACTCTTCTCTGCTGACTAGACCACCAAATACCCCCCTCTTCCTCAATGTCAAGCTCTCGGAACAATCCACAGAGCCCTTTCTGTCGATCACACGTTTTGAGTGGCTTGAAATGCTGCTAATCTCTCACTGTTGACCTCAAGTTTAGCTAGAGGCCTCTGCAGCCGTTCACCTTGGATATAAAGAGGATGAGAAAAATCATTTCACAATGTGTCTGAACATCAACGCACCACCATGTACACTTTACATGTCTTACAGTTTTGTCATTTATCCCTTAGCAAAGCTGAAAACATAAATGAGAACATGATGTTCAAGTCTCTTGCACTGAAGTAATGCCATTCTCTGTGCAAAGATCTCACACGCAAGAGGAAAGACAACTTAGCTATAACTTGATCTCAACTAAAAGCGTTTAGTCAGAATCAGAATATATACTTCTGCACTCAAGCTCTCGATCTATTAAAGATACCTGTGGTATGATATCCCTCTTGATTTAAGTGAGCATTAGCAACCCTGGGAAGCCACTCTGATAAAATGTAAGGGGTGGGGAGAAATCTATGATCAAAGGGTGACGCAGAGATGATCTTACACAGAGCAGCGTGGCCGAGAAAAGACCTGTGTTTACCAAGGACCGTCTGTGGGGTGACGGCTGGACTGCAAGAGCCAGCCCCGAAGTTAAGGAGGGACTATTCTCGTGAGCTGTCACGTTCAGGTTCCACTGACTTGAGTTTCTGAGTCTAGAAGGAGGGTGGGCTGTACAAAGACGCTCTGTGAGGGACAGAGCAGTCACAGGCCTTTTATCCCTGAACCCAAGAAGAGCAAGTGCAGGGCCCATTGAGTGGCAGCTGCTGTTTTGGACTCTTCACTCCCCTGCAGTGAGGATGCAGGGAAGGGTTCTACCGGGTAATGCCTTGTTGGAATGCTCAAAAAAAGAAAAAAAAAGAAAAATAAAAAAACAATTGAAAGCATGTTTCAGCAGGTGATTTTCTGTAAGGTCAATAAAGCACTGACAACAACTTCAGCTGAATTGTTTCTACCTGGTTCCTCTCCTTGAATCTCCAACACATGCTAACTTGTATGAGGGCAGGACTTTCCTGAACAAGATGGCCACGTAGGTGAACGCCTGTACTTGCTACCACCCACCACCACATCAAAATTACAACTAAAATACAGAACAGCCATCATCCAGAACCGCCGGAAAGCTGGCTGAATGGAAGTTCTGCAACTAGAGAAGGAAGGAAGAAAGACTGGTAGGGATGGAGGTGTGAAACAGACTGGGCCAGCACCCAAGTGGGCTATATTTTTAAATCTGTAGGGAGATGGTCTCTGCAGAGGCTGTCCAGAGGAGTAAGGGGGCCCAGTACCCCTCTCCTATTCCCCAGCCCAGGGTCCCAGACTGGGAAGAGAAGTTCCTGTGGGCAGTAAGAACCAGGGGTTGTAAACACCAGTGCAGATTGGGGCTCAGCAACACGGAGGCTATTGTGAGTTAACCCTTAGCTATCAAGAAAACAACCCTCCCCAAAACAGGCCTGTGTTTTCCTCACTAAGAGCTTGACTAAAATTTGGGATTTTCCTGTCAACATAGTAATGGCAGGCAAGGTAAAATAGGAGCAAAATATTAAAAAGATAGAAAAATTGGATTAAAAATAATCCCACCCCGAAAGCCTCCAAGCCCGTGTCTCTGGTCATCCAACAAAGTCATCTTTTTGACACCAAAGCCAATGGTCATACCTGAACCCAGGTACCCAGGAGAACGCAGGGAGCCATCTGAGTCTCCTTGGCAGGGGAAGGTTGGTTTCAAGTCAGGATGAATAGATAAACCTTCTAGAAAATGAACTTGTTTTGTTTTTATATCTTCTGCCATAGAAATGCTAACTGATGCTCTATCCACTGAACCAATCCGGCTAGAGCCATCAGCCTGTGGACCAGAGGGTCCCAGGTTTGATTCCGGTCCAGAGCATGTACCTTGGTTGCAGGCTCCTCCCCTGCTTGGGCCCTGGTCGGGGCTCCTGTAGAAGGCAACCAATTGATGTATTTCTCTCACATCGGTGTTTCTCTCTTTCCCTCTCTCTCCCGCTGTCCCTAAAAATCAATGAAAAAAAAATATCCTTGGGTGAGGATAAACAAAAAAAAAAACAAAAAACTAACTGCAAGAGGCTTGGCCTCATGAACCATCTCTAATCTTCTGCAGGGAAGAAGCCATCCTCTCTCTGCTGCAATTTCCCCTCTGATGCAGTAGGCTTAGTCCCCCGTCTTTAGTAAGTTGGTCTGACAGTCACAGGGCAGCTCACAGGCATTCATCAGCCAACCTTTCCCAGTCCCCTGATACCATCGGACCTGGGAGATAAAAGACAAAGGACCGTGATGGGAGACGAACAGCCATCGGGCAGCTGAGTCTGCAGTGCGGGCCGCTCTCCTGCCCGCCAGCCAGCCAGCTCAGTGAGGGATGGCTGCGTGTCCCCCAGTCCGTATTTCTCAGGGCAGGAGTCTGGCCCCACCAAATATTAATACGAGAGGGTGACAGGCCATCTGTTGTGTTTGCCAAAGGAGAGCAGAGAAATATTTCAAGGGTGGCAGAAAATGCTGAGGAGGGAGGAAATCTTGTACACAAAATCTTTCTAGTCTGTCCAGAGTGGGGTGGCAAGACAGCTCGGAACTTCCCTTAAAGCAACTCTCCCTGTCAGTGAAATCCATGCACCTGTTCCCATCTCGCTTGGTATTCCTAAGACAAAGTGAGTGTAACTTGGGGGGATGCTCTGAGAGAATAGGTACTTCTCTGTTCTGTGGGAGACTAGCAAAGGAGGAAGAGGGGAGAAGGGGAGACACAGGTGAATGAGGAAAAAACCCAAGATGGCATGCTTGCATGCCCAAGCCTGTCCCTTTTTCCCCTGCACATGGAAGCATCTCCTAAATGCTAAGAGATCCCTGAAGCTTGCGACTGGAGTAGCAATGGTCAGTGACAATTCATTCCCGGAAAACCACCTAACCCCATCCCCATGGCACCCTCTTTTCTCACTTCTCCATGAGCCTAGGCTCATTTCCCCAGCGCTTTCTTATTTCACTGTCCCAAACCTCTAATAAACATCCTCTAAAATAAAAACAACAAAAAACTAAGAAAATGCCCAAGATACAATATTTCTCTAAAATCCTCCTTAGTTGTACAAGAGCAACCAACAGTTACCCTGAAAACCACCCTAATCCAAACATCAAAATGTTCCAGATGCCCACAGTCTACAACTTCTGGCCCTTCTCCTTGCTTTGCCTCCATGGAGAAGCGTGAGGGTTGAGAGCATTCCGAGAGTCAGAGTGGAGATGGGCAGAGAGACCCTTCCCTCCCCCAGGCACAGTAGCCAGTGGTGCGCAGCAGACAGCTGCCAGGAACGAGGCAGGATGGCTCTGTCTCAGCAGGTGCAGCCTGACAATGGAGTCCCTGCTCGGGTCCCAGCTCAGCGGCCTGGTACTATGATGCTTGCTTCTGGTCGGCTTTGTTCCTGTCTTTGGTGTAGGACAATGCCCCCTCTATCAGCTGAGTGCACCTTCAGGTACACCCTAACTCCTTAGCAACCACCATCTGGTTTAAAAGCTCCCATTCCCCCTGAGGATGAAGAGCTTAGTGATCAGAATGAGCTTAGTGGCTTCTGAAAGCACATCTTGGAGCAGTGGGGTCTTAGCTCCTTTCTCACGCCTCCCTTCTGCCCTCTGTGCCAGGTACTGTCTGATGCTCTCGATGCTAGATCCGTGCCTGTGCCTCTCACAGAGGCACAATCAATGTTAAGCTGAATCATACGTTAAACCTAAACATTTCCATCAGTTCACTTTTCCTCCCTATTCCATTCTCCCAGTTGTGGTTCATCACCAAGGTACTCTGCATGGCTACGGTGAATAATACAGCCTGAACTTTTTCATGACTAAAGTATTTTTCTGCCGAAACCGGTTTGGCTCAGAGGATAGAGCTTCGGCCTGTGGACTGAAAGGTCCCAGGTTCGATTCCTGGCAAGGGCATGTACATTGGTTGTGGGCACATCCTCAGTAAGGGGTGTGCAGGAGGCAGCTGATCGATGTTTCTCTCTCATCCATGTTTCTAGTTCTCTATCCCTCTCCCTTCCTCTCTGTAAAAAAATCAATAATATATTATATATTTTTTTTAAAAGTATTTTTCTTCATCTGTCAGCCTCCCAGATAATCCATTTCTTCCCACCTCTTCCCCAGTCCTGCAAGCCAGATGCCCTCCTGAATGTTCCAACAGGCTGGTGTGGGTGAGGTGGGATGAGAAAGAGCAGGGGATGGGGGTGCTGGGTAAGAAAGCCATCCCCCTCCTTGTCTCCACAGCTGCCTTCCTGCCTTTAGGAAGGGGACAGCAGCACACATAGCTGCATTCTCCCACTCAGACCATGCCTACTTCTGCCCAAATGCTTGGCCACAGTCTTAATGGCTGATGCTCGCTAGGCTAGTGGACCTTGAGAGAATGCGAAGGGTTGTGCACACAGAGGCAATAGATGCTGGAGTCTTACACCTGAGCAGGCTGGAGGATGTAAGTGGAGGGTGATGTGAGGGGCCTGGAGAGAAGGGCTGGAGAAATGAGTTAGTGAACCCCTAGGTTATACTGAGAGATACCCTTGCCTTTTAGCTTGCATCTGGAGAAAGGACTTTAATCATTCAAATGCACTGCACAGTTGTCAAAGCCTTTTCACGTCACACCCTCATTTGAATGATAGAACAACTCTAAGGTACATAAGGCAGATCAATTCCATTTTGTAGAAGAGGAAACTGAGTCTAAGCAATGTTTTGTCTAAGAACTTGTCCCAGAGCACACAACTGCTAAGAGCCAGGCTTTAAACTAGAACTCAAGGGCATCCCACTCCGGACAACTGCATGGCGACCAGCGAGCATGCTGTGCCATCGCTCCCCCCCCTCCCCTGAAAACCTGCCTGGGAACCAGATGATGCATTTTAGGGAATATCTGAACTTCCAGTACCTGGTATTTGCCACTTTGCTGAGGGTCCATCAACAGGACCCGTGCTATAAAAACTGCTCTCAGTGGGTCACCACTGTCTTCCAATAGGTTCTGACTCAGTGTCTCCTACTTGTAGGTCTCTGGGCTTGGAGATGCTAATGATGTTTCTTTCCTCTCCCCCCACCAGCCCCTCTGAAGAAGTGTGGGCAAGGGTGTCACCAACTCCCAGTAACCACCTTAGCTTTCCCTGCCATCTTTTAAGCCATTTGACAGATAGGAGCCTCAGGCAACACACAGAGGGGCAGGGGAAGGGGGCAGGGGGGACGGGGAGGGGGAGAAACCATAAAGCAAGGGGGATACTGACCTTGCAACAAAGTTGAGCTTGTAGGCTCATTTAGTTCTAAATCGGGTGAGGGATATACAGGAGAGAAAAATGAAAACAAACACATATATTATATACAGTAGCTATATATTGGCCATATATAGTTTGTATACTGCCTTTCACAAACATCTCTGGAGCAATGGATAAATAAAGGAAGACACGACAACCAAAGGTGGCGGGACAAAATGCAGCGTGGGGAACATAAAAGTCAGTGCTCTGTGCTTCCAAACTTGGACATGAAGGCTGGGAAGTGAGGGCGCTGGAGACCGGCACGCTGTCCAGCTGGTTCGACCCTTAGCTTGTGCCGAGCTGGGTACTGACATGGTAACAAAGGACCAGAGATTTGTTTTTGTTTTTTCCAGATGCAATTTGTCCCCACCCCCACCCCATTCCCAATTCACATTGGGAAACCAAGTCCAAAAATGTCTGGTCCCAGGCGGGAAGGAGATCACACAGGAACCATGGAGAGTGGGAATATGGGAGCAGTCTTAGGGACCAGGTGCTCAGAACCCTATTGGTTCTGGGCCCTGAGAGGAAGGGCCACCCCTGTCCCCATTTGGGCTAGATCCCAGCCAAGACGGGATTCCCTGGCACCAGCGCTCCTCACTTTCCAACCTTCAGGCCGGGTGGATGGGTGTGCTTAGGTGATAGCTTAGCTGGGTGGTGGTGATACTATGGAAGAGTGAACCTCCTCACCGCGTTTGCCCATTCCCTTGGAGTCAAGGCTGCCTTGGAACCTGCTGGAAGGCTGAGAGCTGAGGGGGTTTTCCAAGGGTGGAAAATGACATGGAAACCTTCCTAATTGGGTCACGTGTGTCCAAAGGCCTTGGTGGTGGTGGTGGCCTCGATAATGTGCTCAGGGGCTGTGTGAGGGGCCTTACTCATGGATGGAGTGTCACAATTTCCAGGGAACTGTGTCTCTCCTATAGCATTTGGTGGGCTCCTCCAAAACTGTTCTCTTTAGAGGCTAACATATTGGTGTCTGCTTGACTAAATTGGGAAGATGCTACAAACCTTCCTCCCTCGAGGCTTAGCCTGTAAAGGCCCAGAGACCTCTTGCATTGAAGAGCAGCCTGTGTGTGCTCCATGCATCGGTGCTTGACCCAGATTTCCTGCACGTGTGTCAGTACGGCCACCGCTTTGAATGTGTTCTTCAAAGAGAGCCCTGGACTGCAGAAGCTGGGAATAGTAGGAATGACACGGGGTGAATGGCCACAGAATGACATCAGGACTGGGATGGGCTTGGGGGTGGGGTGGGGGTTTAATTGCCCTGAGGGTGTCTGCTGAAAAGAGCAGGATTCAGGACACATCCTTCGCTGCCCTTCTTATCACAGATGACAGTTATTGCGCTTTTAAAGGTTGCCTTTTTCTTTCTGTTCTCATCTTAAGGGGAAGAAGCCAGGGGATTAGATAGGAGGGACGAAGCCAATTGCAAAACCATTTCATGCATCCAAATCAGAAGCGGGAGGTCAGAGGTGGAGGGAGACTTAGGGACAGGGACCGCTGAGGGTGGAGAGAGCACACTCAAGAGGCAGGCGGGAGAGCCTTAGATTTGCAGAGCAAGGGGCGGAGGGGCATCTTCCTTTCTAATCCTGGCCCTTCTGCTCATGCAGACAGACACCTGCCAAAAAGCCGAAAAGGCCTGGCACACGTGAGAGGCCATTATGACTGCCCCTGTGTGAGGGATGTCAGACAGATCAATCACCCAAATCACAGTGTCTGGCATCCATTCCCAGCACCAGTTCTGGGATCGGGGCAGCCTCCCCTCCCCAGCCCTCGTGGATAAAGCTGGGCTTCAGGTTGTGTGCTACGTAAAAGGGAGACTGGATGCGATTTGGAAGCAGAGGTAGGACAATGGGTGGCACAGAGGGGCTACTAGGGACAAGCTGGGTACCCTGTGCATGGAGGGCAGGAGGCAAGGGGGATGCGGGTGAGGACGGGTACTTGAAGCTACGGGATTATCTGGGAGTTCTCTGAAGGAAAGGAAGTTATGCTCTTGCCAATCACCTGCTCACTTCCTCACCTCTCCCTCCTCGTCCCCCTGGAAAGTATGTGTTCGCAGGGAGACTGAAGGGGTAGAGATTGGAAACAATGTGCTCCCTGAACTTGGCAAGATCTGGAGGGGTTTGCCCCCAAAGCCAGGAGAAATGAACCCTGTGGCCTATAAGGAGAATCTGCAACTACTGAGGGGAGGAAGTCCTCCCAGGGGCCTGACCCGGAAGTCACTCCTCCAGGTCACGTGGGGCAGCTGCTCTGCTCACAGGAGGAGACAAGGGCCCCATAAGGGGACTGGCTCATTGGCCTCCTTTGCTTCCATCTGGCACCAATAGCATCGCTAGCATCGCCAATGTGCAACGAGTGCCCAGCCATCTGTCCCCCACCTATGGACCCTTCGCTAAATAGTTGTTGGATGAATCGATGCATGAATGACTATGTCACTTCCGTCACGATGGCAGCTCCCTTGCACACATATCCCTTAATCCAGCCAGACAACACGTTTTTATACAAGTGGAAACTAGGGCAATCCCACTATTCTCTACTTATTCTCCCCCTGAAACTAATAGTATTCAGGGTCCCAATTCAGGCCCACCATTCCACTTTCATACAAAGAATTCCATTTCTCTCGAGTTTCAATGGCCAGAAAAAGCTTCAGAAGTGGTTACCATCTCACACGAATTCAGTGAACAAAGCATTGATACAGTAAATGCTCCTCCCTAGCTCTTCACTGCCCCACCCAATTATAGTCCCCATCCTCAGTGTAGGAGATACCATTGAGGAGAAAAAATTAAATGTCATTTCAGCATCACCAAATCCTTTTCTCCTATCCCAGGATTTTTCCCATTATAGAATGAAACATGAGCATTCTTTTTAAAAAAAAAATTTCCCCACTTCCAGCGTCTCTATCTCTCTCATCCTTCTTTCTTCCTCTTCTCCCTCACCTCTGCCTCACTACTTCTGATTCTCTTCTACTTTCCCTCAGGGCCTCTCTTCCCCACTCCTGCTGCTCTGCACGACCCTCTCCTTTTTGCCCAGCTCGGGACTCATCTTACCAAAGAGTGTGATGCTGGCATTGGTGTGGCCGAGCCTGTTGGAGGCGACGCACGTGTAGTTCCCATAGTCATGTTCTGAGACGTTGAAGAAGATGAGCTTTGAGAGGAAGGGTCTGTTTTCCACTTTCACCCCCTTCTTTCCTTCAGCCAGCCTACAATGAAAAGAGACGGTTATGCTTTTCTCGCAGGAAGTGGACTCTGGAATTATTGATCATCTCATCCAACCTTCTAACATCATGCCCACTTTCCGCACTCAACACAGTAAGTTCACACACATGACTGTCATTTATCTCTCCATTTTATGTAGGTGCCTGGAGACCCATGTGGCACTGTGAGGACATTTAACACCTCTGAAGTCTGGTGCCTCCCCACCACACACAGTCCCAGCTGTGTGACATTTATGGATCGCATGCTCAGAAGTATAGACTTAATTGACGTTGATGATGATAATGGAAATGGAGATAGTGATGATGACAACCCTTAAAAGAATCATTCAAACTTCAAAGAGAAGAACAATCTGAGAGATGTGAAGAAAAAAACAATAATCCACAATGCTCTTCAAGCACCTGGGCAATAAATTCTCCTGAGAATCTGAGGCATTCTACATGTAATACCTGACTTTGGGCTGTGAATGGGAAATAAGAACCAGGGATCATTCTGAATCCATGAGCTCTGGAGGCCTGAGAGAGGTGATGTGCAGAGGTCTGAGAGAGGTGATAGCAATTGGCCTGGGAGGGATTAAGGATGTCCGAGAATATGACCCCACAGAGCCAGGACAGTCTCTTGGACAACCCAAAATGGCAGTCCCATATGACACATGGCTCACACAGGGGCCACTAAAGAAGTGCCACAGGTAGCTAGTGAGGAAAGCAGTTAGACACACTTGTGGGAGCCATGGATTCTGTTACTGGGTAGAGAAAGAGGATGAGGAGAAAGCTGCTATAAGGGTGGGTGAGGCCATATCTTCCATTGTAGGGGTCATTAGCAGCAATTTCTATCATGATATCATGTCTACACAGAAATCACAAGACCAAACCCCTCCTTTTGAAAAACTCTGGAACGTCCTTTTTCAGAGAATAGGCATTAAGCGAACATGTCCCTTTCCCTGAAATAACCTGTCTCCCCAGCCTGAAGCTGAGTCTATGTTTTGGGGAAAAGGAATACTCATGGAAGGAATTAATCCTTCTGCATGAAAGATCTCCGGGAACCTGGTCGCACATTCCAGTGCCTGTTGAGAGTCTGGCTGGGGCAGGATGCGGGCAGAGTAAACAATGTCAAGATGAACACATCTGGGAGCAGGCTCTGGGGACATGAATTAGGGCAAATGGCTGGCATCAGAGTCATCACGCTGAGAAAGACAATATTCCAGCGGAAACAGAAAGTGGAGCACAGCAAGACAATGATGAGAAAGCGCGTTGTAAACTGGAAAATGTTATTCAATCTGATGTATTTCTGTGGAGTTGGATGCAGAGAGCTCCCGCCTGTCCCTGGTCACAGCAGGCTGGCACAGAGGGCACCGGCTCTGACATTATCTGAAGGTGTTATCTCGGTAAGACTGCAGGATGCCTCTCTCCTCTGCCAGACCCCCTGCACCAGCCACCACAGAGAAGCCGGGTCTGGCTTCAGTTCCCACCTAGCGTTTGTCCCCAGGAGAGCTAGGGGGTTGGCTGGAGGGACTTGCCTTGCTTTTCATTATGTCGATTCTCGTCGGGGAGCCTTTCTTTCTAAGGGCAGTGAACTGGTCTGAGCCCATGAACTTCATTAAAAGGTGTACACTCTCCCCATGGAATGAGGAGTCTGGCTGGGCAGCCAGACACCAGTTATGTTTACGGCTTGCTATGCACGTACTGATCCTCTAGGGGGTGCTGTGCAGAGAAGGTGCTGAGGCCCACCTGTCAAGAGGCTTCAGGGAGCTGCTCTAGCTTTGGCAGTTGGATGCCACTCCAGGGCTGGGGACAAAGAAGGCTTCACCTCATAACCAGGCTGTGAGTTAGATGTCAAGGCTGTGGTGGGAACACCCTGGCCCAAAGAAGGCTCTTATCTAACAGCGCTGAGATGTATCTGGCTAAAAACAGCACCAGCAGCTGAAACTGGTTTGGCTCAGTGGTAGAGCGTCGGTCTGTGGACTGAAAGGTCCCAGGTTCGATTCCGGTCAAGGGCATGTACCTTGGTTGCGGGCACATCCCCAGTAGGGGGTGTGCGAGAGGCAACTGGTCGATGCTTCTCTCTCATAGACGTTTCTAACTCTCTATCCCTCTCTCTTCCTCTCTGTAAAAAATCAATAAAATATATTTTAAATAAATAAATAAATAAATAAATAAATAAATAAATAAATAAATACAGCACCAGCAGCCATGAGCATCACTTTGCTGCTTCCAGAAGGACACACATTTCCCAGCCGCTCTGCTACCAGGCTTGTTTCTTAATGTGCCTGGAAGCTGGTTACCAGCTCAGGTCCCGAGAATGGGTGGCCCTTAGTAATAATGACAGCACCCCATTTTTCCTCGCTTTGATGGACGTCACCCACAATAGCCTGAGGTGACTGGTGCTCTGTGGACTCCAAAGGGGACGTTTACCCTAACATTTGAGAAAACTGCTCTCCTCATCGCACAGAGTCCCCTGATGTGCCTCAGAAGTCCCCTCCTCTCCCTGGACATGTGAGCTGGGTTAGAGCTGGCCTTCCCCAGGCGGAGGCCACGTGCCCTCCCAGACCTGCCACCCTCGGTGGCTGGGGAGGACAGGCAGCGACAAGGACCATAAAGGCAGAGATGTTCTCCTTAAACGGCGCGCCTAGATGACAGGCAGCTCATTCTATGGAAGAACACCAGAAATAAGTAAATGAGCAGCAAGTGGAAAACTGACCCGAACTAGTTCAAGCAGAAAAAAGAAGCTTCCATGAGAACTCAAAGGAAGGAAGTCTCAAAGATGTCAGAGCCACTGGCCTGAGTCCCTCCCAGTGATGCTCCCTGATTTCCTCCTCCGGGAAAATCCTGGCAGAGACCAGCCCTCTTGGTTGTTTACTTTCTTAGCTTCTTGGCCTCTGAAGCACCTTCTTCCTCCTCCCTCCCACATACACCTCGGGGCTTTTTTGCATCACCCCCTCCCCGCTTTTAGCAAAGGGTTCTTGTACGTTTAGTTGTTGCTGCCCATCTTAACATGGCAATTTCCACAGCGGTGAGTGTGCGGCCCAGGGAATGAGCCACTGACCCTGGGCTAACGTGCCATTTGCAACGAATCACAGCGAATGTCCCGGTGGCACTGCAGCAAGGCAAGGGGAGGGAACCCTGCCCTCTTTTTCTCCTTCAGTCAACCAACAGCCTGGGCACAAAGAGAGGGCTAACTAGGGTCACGGACTCCTGTAAACCAATCCTGACAGCATCTGAAATGGAACCGAGGCCTCTGGCTCCAGCTAACTTCTTAGCCACCCTCAGGGTCCCGGGAGCGCTCCTAACACCTCATGCAAGCCCGGGGACGTGTTAGAAAGAGCTACAGGCGAAACATCTTCTTTTCTTGGCCCATGAGAAATCCACAGGCCTTCCCATGCCCCTGGCAGCCTTCCTGTGAGGTTTGGCTTTCCTTACAAAACGTGTTTCTAAGGGCTGGTGAGTCAGTGAGTGTGATTTCTGCACGGCAATATTGGAAACATAGCTGAGATGCATTAATTAATGATTGTATATCATCTCCCTCTGCTAGGCAGGAGGAGTTCAGGGAGGAATTTCATTTGCTACCACCTGCAACCAGGAACCTGGAACAGATGCCTTCTTTTGGGGTGGGGTGGGGGAAGGGAGTGCAGGCAGGGGGTTCTCACCTTTTGTCGTCCTTGTACCACTGGAATTCTGCTGAGGGCACTGCCGAGGCTTCACACTGCAGGGTCCCCTTCTGTCCCACAGGGACCCCTGTCCCCTTCGCTTCGGAAATGTACGGTGGATCTGCAGAGAGAGGACGCCCTGTAGCATCCGAAAACGCGTTCTCCAGCGAGGCCGCTGCCTCCCTCGCTGATTGTATATTTCACTCTCCGATCTACCACGCTCACTGGAGCTGACAGATTCACTACACACATTGTGCTGCTGGAATGAAACCACTCGCGGTAGTTGTAAGGAAAACCTTGGTCTGCCTAGCGTGGGATGCTTCTAGCCCCTTCTGAACGGAGGCGAATGGCCAGGCGTGCATGCAGGCCCATTTTCTGTTTCAACTTTTTGACTTGCATGGGATGACACCAAGCCATCAACCCTCTGGTCCCTGGGTTGGCAGTCGGCAGTTTTAATCAGCCTCGTAACATTTCTGCAAACCAGGTCCTTGCCAGACTACATAACCTCATACTATTCAATTCCCATCAAAAGCACAGTTGTAAAAATAATATTCATAGAGAGTTGCCTGAAGGGTGTACGGATCAATCATCCTTCTAGGTTCTTCTAAAATGGTTCCCGCATCTACCAGACTAAGCCAGACCTATGTAGCTGGCCTACTTGCATTTGAAGTTTCCCCTAACAGCGCTTGGCAATTCCAACGGTTTGCAGGGATGTGCCCTGGGAAGCAAGCTGTAACAGCTGCACCATTCTATTTAATACAGAAACACTGTAAGCGGTTGAGTACATTTCAAGGTGCTCTATTTGTGGAGACCCTGAAGATAAACTTCCCCTTGGTTTCAGGACCAGAACAAGCAGTGCTTCTCCCAAGTAACTAGCTGGCTTTTACCTGATGGACATAAAACTGAAAACAGAGGATCTTTTGCCCTAGGCTCAGTGGCTAGAGCATTGGCCTGTGGACTGAGGGGTCCCAGGTTCAATTCTGATCAAGGGCACATGCTCAGGTTACTGGCTCAATCCAAAATAGAGGGCATGCAGGAGGCAGTCCATCAATGATTCTCGGTCACCATTGATATTTCAATTTCTCTTTCCCTCTCCCTTCTTTGAAATCAATACAAATATGTTTTTAACAAAACACACATATGCCGTTCACTCTCTAAGAGTTGGCTCTGTATCCATCTCTTTTCCGTGGCCACGCCAGCAGTCCACCTCCCACCCACACAGGGCGGGGGTCCCATGACACCACTTACAGTTCACCGTGACCTTCACTCTCCGCACCACGGGAGCAGCCACATCGTTGGAGGCGCTGCACTCGTAATCCCCAGACTGCTCCCTGGTGATGCCCTGGATTTCCAAGTATTCGTCTTCACTCACAAAGCCCACAGCTGCCGGAAGGTGCGATAGCATAGGAGAGAAAACAGCAAAGGCAGGATCTTAGCAACCGACGTAGGACATGGTTATGTCTGCCACGTCCAAGTTCAGATTCCTCAGCATGGTGTGGATTCACACTTCCCTTCTTCCACCACAGCCACCACCACCATCTCCTTAGCTCCCCAAGGGACTAGCTGAGATGCTTGTGTTCCCACCTGGACTAAACAAATGGCTAGAGACATGTGCACTGCCCTGATCTTACGGAGCACCCTGGCTCTGGGTCCGAGAAAGGCACCTACGATATATCTCAATTCTTTCTGACTCCAGGTGCCATTAGATTGAACTTGGGAGTAGAGACAATGACTACATCCCATATCACATATCAGTTAAAAATACCACAATAGCTTATACACACACACACACACACACACACACGTCACAAAGACAGTGGGAACACTCATACAAGTTAATTTATTTTTACAGCTACAGTCAACTGATAAGCAAAAGTCCATTTCCCAAACTTCAATCTATTAATAGTGACTATGGAGCCCAGCAGGCATGGCTCAATGGTTAAGCTTCAACCTATGAACCAGGAGGTCACGGTTCCATTCCCAGTCAGGGCAGATGTCTGGGTTGTGGGCTCTTGGATCTAAGCTCCGGAAGACAAGCCAACACCAGGGACTCCCCACCCTCACCACAAACATGGCAGAAAGTAAAGGATAAGAGGGCAGGTATATATTTCCCTGCCATTTCATCATCATCAGAATCCATTCTGTATGGAAGAGTCATGAATAATAATACCACTCCCATGCCTATTAGACTCCCCACCAAAGGCCTGGCTGAAAGGATTTAATGATGGAACAACCATGACATTCAAGCCTAGGAGATGTATTTCTTGGTTTTCTCTCGTGTTGCCCTGAATTCTGTCTCCTTGAAGAACGACAATGGAGAACAGAAGTAATTGCTTCCTTCCCAGGGAAGTATCTGGCCTCATCCATTCAATGAAGTCACCAGCATGATGATATATGCATCTTGCGAACTGGATACCTTGAAGAGTTCAAGGAGGTGCTATAAATATTGACTATAGAGCCCAGCATGCATGGCTCAGTGGTTAAGCTTCAACCTAATAACCAGATGGTCATGGTTCCATTCCCAATCAGGGCATATGCCTGGCTTGCAGGCTTGATCCTTAGTGTGGGGCGTGCAGGAGGCAGCCATCAATGATTCTCATCATTGATGTTTCTTTCTCTCTCCATCCTAAAAAAATAAAAATAAAAAGACAATGGGGTAGCAGTGTGAGTTGAGACTGTCACTAGCAACTGAGACATTTGCCCAGGCAGGATGTATACATAATCCCAACACCTCAGAGCGTTGTTTGGAGTGACAAATGGAAACACACACAAACATGAGAGCACTTTGAAAACTTCCATGTGTTGTGCACCTGCTTTCACTAGCACTCCTGTCATCTGCCCGGAGGCACAGCCTCCGTGAGTGGAGCTAGATTAACATGCATGGCTCCACATGACATGAGCAGGAAGGAAAGAGAGGAGCACCTTTCTCCAGGGGATAGGACTGCCATGTCATGCCACATGACCTCCTGCTCTAAAGTATGACAACAACAACAGTGAGAAACTGGTAAAATACAAAACATGACAGATATGCTATGTAAGTTCCAGTTGAATTTGTTATGTGACATGAAGGTCACCAGTTTGTCAAGGAAACAACAGTGGTAATAACGATGGCAACAGTCTTGAGAAAAAGGGCCATGACCTGCCTGACTGGGCCACCATTTTTTGGACAAGATACCACTGAGCCACCCTCCAGTCATAAGCTCGATGAGGTTGCCATTTCCTCATGTACTCGCATGACCTAGGAAACCCATGCTACATATGTGTGGGAACTCTTGCCTTCACTACCTACACGAGAGAGAAAGAACAGCCTGTAGCTACCGAGACAAGCAAGACTCAAATTCCCAGGAAGAGCCAGAAACTTAGTAATGAGTAGAAAACAGGGCCAAAAGGTTCAGGTTATGGAGAAGACAATCAACATTGACCCGTAGGAACTCACCGTCTCAAACCAGTTAAGAAGCATCTCTAATTGTCAAAGTAGCCTTTTGTTCTTATTTCCTAAGCATTTTCAGGAGGGGAAATGACTAGCCTTGATGTAAGGAAGGATGAAGGAAACCAGGAGCAAAGGTTTAAAGGAAGAGTTGGCAATTCCTTTCATCTTGTTGTTTATTTGCTACCAGGCTGGAGCCTACATTTGTCAGATCTTTCCCAGCTGGAATGGTATAATTACTGTGCAGAGCTTCTCGGAGACCAGTGTCACGCTTAATATTCCCATTAATTTTAAATGGTAGTCTTTGGTACATATGTGTGGCAATTGATGTCATATTTTAATTAGGCTTGCCCTACACCATCTGAAATTAATAATAGCTTGAATTACCAGTGTAATTTATAAATTAACAGCGCCGTAGCATTAGGAAATAAATTAGTTCTGGACAGCTGTTTCTGGACTGAGCTTCGTGTCTGAGCAGTGGTTGGACCCCAGATCCCTGGGAAGTCCGTGGACTGCAACAATAAAGCAATGAAATAAAACTATATAGGTTTCTTTGGTTCTCTCATTCTTCTCTCTACTTGGAGACCAAACATCTAATTTTATTCTACCATCCAAATATGCTCTTGTGTGACCCCAGTAAGACATACAGGGACTCAGTTTCATGAGCCTGTTATAAGGACAGCCAAATGGAGATGCAAGTAGGGAGTTTACAGTAATAGACACAATTGCAAGGTCATAGTATTAAGGTAATCCCAACCAAGAAGTCATTGCATTTTCTGTGCAGATGTGTGTAATTTTATATATTTCTATCAGGCAGTTTTACATAGTGAAGGAGAGCTTACGATTTGGGGAAGGTCCAGATTTGTATTACCATGGGGAAGGCATCTACACTGAGGTCATCGCACAGAAAACAATGAGTCTTAACTTGACTAGCCTGTGCTCCCCAAGCCAAGTGTAGAATTACAGGAAAATCACAATGGCTCCATTACTCCCCGATTTCATGCACTCTGTGATTCAATTGGGTGAGGCATGTGAAAACTAATTCATACATAGAACAATGCTTTATCTGTATTATCTTTCCTTGCCATCATTTTCACCTTTCTCCTCACATACATGGTTTCTTTACTAAAAGCAAAGATGGCAACAAAAAGAGGAAGAGACTCGGTATGTACATAACAAATTAGACTCTGAACCACCAGAAATGAGGTTCCTACAGGAGATGCCTCAGACAAGCTAATAAAAAATAACAACAAAAAAAACAAAAACACACACACAAAAAAAAAAACCCCAAAAACTGAACTAAACCAAACCAAAATCTGAATTTATAAGAGGCAATGATTTGAGCAAAGTTTTTCCTTTAAACAACATTTGTGCTCTGGTTATGAACATGGACCAGCAGACACCTTGAATTTGGACTTCTGGCTTTCAGAACTTGGAGAGTAAACATTTCTATTGTGTAAGCCACCTCCTCTTTGTAACTTTCTTGTGGAAACCTTAGAAATGAATACACTCCTGTCTCTCTCCTAATTCCCAGTGCCAATGGCTGTCTGAGTGTAGAGTTCATCTAGTTCACCTAGAGTTTGTCTAGTCTTTAGAATCACAATAAAATTAAACTAGCACAAAACTGGTTTGGATCAGTGGATAGAGCATCGGTCTGCTGATTGGAGGGTCCTGAGTTCAATTCCAGTCAAGGGCATGTACATTGGTTGTGGGTACATCCCCATTGGGGGGTTGGGGAGATTGGGGTGTGTGTGTGTTCAGGAGGCAGCTGGTCAATGTTTCTCTCTCATCAATGTTTCTAGCTCTCTGCCCCTCTCCCTTCCTCTCTGTAAAAAATCAATAAAATATATATTTTTAAAAATTAAACTAAAGAGCTCAAGGCATCAAGAAAGATTATATAACCCCATAGTTATGCTAGGACATAGTCTGATTCAGTAGGATTACCTAGAAGAGTTATTTAAATATAGATTTCTAGACCCTACCATAACTACTCAGTTTCCTGGAATGAGGAGTTTTCATAATTTTACCAGGAAATTCTCACATATAGTCAAGTTAGGAAATTAGTAATTTTGTTAAATCCCAACTACAGTTTATAGGAGCCCATATCGGGTTAGTGCCAGATCACACCAGTTCTCTTGGTGTCCAATCCACAGATGATTTTTGCTATATTCACTGTCTTATTTCCCAGTGTAATTGAAACCCTCCAACAGCAGAACTGAGTCCTGCACATCCTGGCTCTCAAGACACGAAGGGAAATAATTTATATAATTTGAAGTTTGTAAAATTCTTATTAACAAATGGATTGATAGGCTCAGAAGTACTTAATTAAAAAAGAGAGGGAGAGCGAGAGATCCAGGGACTCCATGCTGCTCCCCTAATCCTCATGTGGTTCTATTCCCACCATAACACCACTTCTGGTAATTGTTCTTAGCATAATATTTGTATTTCCTGACGTTCAACATATCATCGCTATTAATGTTCTAACAGCACTGACTTTCTTTAAATGTGTGATTTAAAAAGGTTTATTGAGTGTTTAGTATAATTTATATTGGTCTCGGGGCCAATTATTTCCTCAGGGAAATGCATCCTTAATTTAAAAATGAAGATCAATGAGAAGTATGATGCATTGAACAGAATTTGTTCTACAGCCAACTTTTCAGGAACACAGCTATTTCATTAAGTGGATTCTGACAATTCAAGTCGGGAAATAAAGCGAGTTGGAAACGTGATTCCACCTGCCCTCCAGTCCCCAAAGGAGGTCCACATCACCCATGGGCTGAGCTCAGCAGCTTCCCTCAATAATGGACAGCACTGCTCTGTATAAGTAATACCCTTTGGAAGAGAAAAGCCCAAGGTCCTGAGTTCATAGATTAGGCATTAACAGTTTTTAGAACCGAAAATAATAGCAGCCGTGATTATCATTTTTATCGCACCTAAGAATGAGCTTGTCAGGGGC